AATATTTCAAAAACTTAGAAAGCTCGACGTGTACTATCGAATGGCACTAATAAAAAAGATTTAAGGATCAAAATAAAATTTGAGGAATAGGCCCCTTTTTCCATCCAAAGTTCTACACTGTAGCAAAAACCTCTGTTCAATCATCACGCGGACTTCAATTATTTGAATTGTTTTAAAGTGGCGTACTTGATTTTTTTCTCGTATTTTGTTCAATTTTTGGGATGAAATTCCTCGTTAATTAGAAGAATTAGACAAAATCTGATATCATGGGAATAATCCTTAGACTGTATCATATTAATGTGCTGAATATGTGCACTTATTTCAAAAACACCTTGTATATGTATATTAGAACTGATAACGCTTTCAATTTGGTCAAACAATATTCAACTCATACAGGGTTAGTCAAAACTATTGGGCCAAAATATGGCGATAGGAACAAATATGCCTTAATAAAATATTGCTGTGGAAAAAGATACAGGCCGTTAAAGTTGTTTTTTTTGTCGTTTTTGCTAATAATTCCACTGTATATTTATGAACTGTTATCAAAATTGGCACATGCAGAGGCATGATTTTATACAGGGAATATTATTTTATGTATTATTCTACAGTTTGTTACAGAGAAGGCGTCACGTGGATGATTCCTGATGATGAAATCGACTGGTAACTTTTTTTGACGAAATTTTCTAATGATTTTGATTTGGATATATGACATACATAATATCTACTAATAATTTGGTGCGAGTTTATAGTCAATACATTCCCGATTGAAACGCCCTGTATCTTTTTCTATAGCAATTTAATATTTCATCAAGGCATATTTGGAACTTTACCGCCATATTTTGGTCCAAACAATCCTTCCTTAGCTGATGTCCCAATGACTCGCCCTGTTTACAATAAATTACCTAATCAAATTAATTTGAAAAAACATTATATGCAATCGAATCAAGAACGGCAGATTTTTTTATCCAGGTCGGTACCTACATCATTTCCTATTCAAACACCTTGATTTTTTACGATGAAAAAGATTTTACACACCATAAGTACATCAAAAGGAGCCTACTTCAAAAAATAAAATAATTAATTGAGTTTCATTGGTGTCAACGTTACTCCGCGAATTTGTCCGCTGTCCGGAAATAGTGTGAAATTAATTGAGTGAGAATTAACGGCCAGCGAACGGTAATAAGAATGGACATTATATTAGTCCGGGACGAGAACTTTTTGTAGTTTGAATACGTTATTTTGAGCACATATAAATGCCTGGACTTAACGAAATAACACCAATATCAGAACATCAATTTATTTTTAAAAGTCCTCTATAGTTACACTGAGAAAAAAATCGAATAGCGGTTATTGAAAATTGAATAACCTTCATAAAAAAATTGAATTAAATAGGGGACAGCCTAGCTGTCTTATAAATGCTATTCAATTCATTTTGCTATGACGACCCAATAACAGTTACTAGATAATTTAATGAAGCATGACATGAAGGCTACACCGTGAACGAATTACGGTCATTCAACAATGTGTATTACTATAATTAAAGAGTATAATCGCTGTTATTATCCAGAACCTATAACAGGCATTGAACCTCTGTATCGAAATAATTAATGACTCTAGTTATTTCAAGTTGATAATCGAATATTTTTTTCCACATAATTTTCCAGAATAGAAAAAATCTATTTAGCACTTTTCATTTTTGGAGCTCTGTCAATGAGAATTACTCTTGGAAACGATGTAGAGAAAATAATATGTTGAAAATACACTATTTTTCACCCATTAAAGATCTTTCAATGTTTGAAAAATTTAACTTTTTCAATATATTCATTATTTGTTTCCTCATGATGAACTTTTCACTGAATATAAGCTTCGGAAATTGAATGTGCCAAATAGATTTTTTTCTATTCTGGACAATGATTTGGTAAAAAAATATTCGATTATCAACTTGAATCAACTAGAGTAATTAATCATTCCAATACAGAGGTTTTATGCCAAAAGATCTTTTTTTCTATTCATTTTATGTAATCATTTGATGAAGAATTATTTGATTATCGATCTCACCTATACCTAGCGTATACGCAAAGAAAAATTAGTGCAACAAAAATGCTGTCATGAAGTTGGAGAAGAACTGCCCTGAACTAAACTCTGTAGATGGTAGGAAATGAGAAAATTGAACTTTAGAAAAAACAAGTTTAATAATGAACAAAAAAAATTAAATTTGCCGCACGTTAAGATAAGTGGTTTAAAATTAAATAACTCCAACATTTCAAATCAAAATATCACTTCTAAATGTCTCGGTCAATCCCAGTTTTTGCACACTTCTAACCATCAGTTTTTCAAAACCTCACTCGATCACAACTCAGAATCATGACTATCAACCGTATTTAACAAAGGAAACGAAGCACGAGTTTACCGACCAACTAGGCCGACCTAAGTCTGATAACTGACGAAGGAGTGTGTCAATGTGTCGGAAAAACTCTTGTTCGTATGTACTCGAGGACATTCGTCAACGATCGTCATTAAATTTTCCTATGATGGTAATTCGATAACAAGTAATGGTAATATTTATTCATTCAATTTCATTAAATTTTCCTATGATGGTAATTCGATAACAAGTAATGGTAATATGATTGAAATTCACTCGTCTGCGTTAATTATCATAGGTTCAGACATTAATTGTCATTACAAGAAGTCCAATGAAGTTAATTGAAGTACTCCCAATAAAACGTCTCTAGTTATGGTAATTAGTCCTTGGTGCTATTTTTATTCGTAACATGAGTGAATATGATTAGAAATTGAATTACAGTCATAACTCAGACATAAAAAAATTTGATGAGTGCTTTTTCCTCAGTGTAGAATTCTAGATTTTAGATATTACGACGTAGTAGGGAATTAGCAAGGAATTGATCATGACGCTATAGTAAGGACTTTATCATGAACTCCATGATCCAGCACTGGGAGTGCCCAAATGCACAAGCAAGAAGGGAACAGCTGAATGACTGAAGAATTGCTCAAGTCGAATTGCGAGGTAAGAAGGAATCAGAAACAACACACCACAACTTGAACAAATGCCTAGCACTGGAACGAAAAAGGCAATCAATCTATACAGGGTGATCCACGGTGGATAGCCTACTAGAAGTATCTGGAGAACGAAAAGACATTGATTACAGAGATATAGGGTGTTCAAAATCGAGATTTTTCAATTTTAGGATTTGTTTGTGTCGAAACTATTCATTATCGGCTTACATGTCCCTATCTTAACTTTTGATTCACTATCTACTGGAATTTAATTGGAAAAAATACAGGGTGCTTCAAGATTCAGAATTCTGATCACCCTGTATCTGTTCCAATTAAATGTCAGTAGATAGTGAATCGAATGTTAAGATAGGGACATGTAAGCCGTTTCGATCAGTAATGAATAGTTTCGACACAAAAAAATCCTCAAATTGAAAAATCTCGATTTTAAACACCCTATATCTCTATAATCATTCCTGATAGACCCCAAGTGTGATACATTGATGAAATCAGCTCTCCAGTAAGAATCTAAAAATGCAATAAAGTACATGATGTTCTATTTGAACTAACGAAGTTGGGGTCCACTCCGGTACAACCGGAAGTGCCACAATCTTCAAAATATTTTAGCCGGATATCACTTATCAACAATAGTGAACTACCAAATTTTCAAATTCGGCCCACCTATGGTTTTCTATGTATTGATCGATGCAGTTCCCGGAGGGACACCCTGTATATTGTTGTTCAAATATCATTTATCATGTTCAGGGTGGACCAAATTGAACTTTTTTGAAGAGAAAGTCTGCTTTGAAACTCCTTTCATAACATTATAACTGTCCCTAAACCGCAGTCAAAATTATGTACACCAAACTTCAATTTCACGAGGAATTCCAAGGAATTTCTAGATATTTCAGTTGTTTGTACAACATAATTATACCGCACTGCACACAAGGAATTCCATGAAACTCCAAGGAAATCCAAGGAATTCCAAGGAAATCCAAGGAATTTCTAGGAATTCCAAGGAATTCCAGTTGTTTTTACACCAGAATTATAACGCTCTTCACTCAAAGAATTCCAAGGAAATCCAAAGAATTCCAAGGAAATCCAAGGGATTCCAAGGAAATCCGAGGGATTCCAAGGAAATCCAAGGAAATCCAGTTGTTTGTAGCCCAGGAATATACCGCATTTTACCCAAGGAATCCCAGAGAATTCCGGAGAATTCCAAAGAAATCCAAGGAACTCCAAAAAAATCCAAGAAATTCCAAGAAAATTCAAGGTATTCCAAGGAAATCCAAGGAATTCCAGTTGTTTGTACACCAGAATTATACCGCACTTCACTTAAAGAATTCCAAGGAAATCCAAAGATTCAAAAGGAAATCCAAGGGATTCCAAGGAAATTCAAGGAATTCCTAGGAATTCCAGTTGTTTGTACACCAGAATTATACCGCACTTCACTTAAAGAATTCCAAGGAAATCCAAAGATTCAAAAGGAAATCCAAGGGATTCCAAGGAAATTCAAGGAATTCCAAGGAAATCCAAGGGATTCCAAGGAAATCCAAGGAATTCCAGTTGTGTGTAGCCCAGGAATATACCGCATTTTAACCAAGGAATTCCAGAGAATTCCAAAGGAATCCAAGGAATTCCAAAAAAATCCAAGAAAATCCAAGGTATTCCAAGGATATCCAAGGAAATCCAAGGAATTCCAGTTGTTTGTACACCAGAATTAAACCCCACTTCACTCAAAGAATTCCAAGGAAATCCAAAGAATTCCAAGAAAATCCAAGGAATTCCAGTTGCTTGTACACCAGTATTCCAGTTGTTTGTACACCAGAATTCCACCGCCAGCACGGACCCTCGCAACGGAGCCACCTCGCTTCGAAACCCCCTGTAAAACATATCCAAGTTTTGCCCACCCTGTACCCGCTCCAACCGCCAGCAACCGCCAGCGCACTCGGCGGCGGCACCGGCCCTTGCCGCCGCGCCAGTCGGCCGCGATCGGCCCGGTATAAAGTACCTGAGCGCTCCGAGCGGCCCTCCATTCCGAGCCGCCTCCGTCCAGCGATCGCGTCAGCCATGGTCCGGGCGGCGAACCCGCCTCACCCCCTGCTGCTAGTCACGGCGGTGGCGACGGTGTGTGCAGCCCTGCCGCAGGCCGTGCTGGCCATCGACCTCGCCAAGCTCTACGGCCACGTCGGCGCTAAACGGGGTGAGTCAGTTCGGAGATCAGGGAGATCCTCGTCCCTTCGAGTCTCGCGACGCTTGCTTTTGTTTTGCCACTTTGCCAGCCCGGCCAACTTGCAACTTGTTGGTTAGGCGGCCGCATCAACAGTTGTCGCAGTAGCGCGATCAATATTATTCGTGTTTTTTTCTCTCAGTGTGGGTGCCTGTTATTTCGTGGGCAGATACGATTCGAGCAGGGTTGGGATTTCGTTAGTGTCAGTTTGTACTGAGGCTATATTCCGAATTCAACTGGTCAGTACTGTCAGTAGATCCACTGAATCTGATGAAAATCTGTGTTCCGAAATAAAAAATCAAAAAAACAGTGCTGTAATTCGGGACACGTTGTCATGGTTTTCATCAGTAGTCAGCAGCAGTTGATCAGCTGGTGAAATTTGTCAGTCTGTAGTTTCTCGTTTATCTGAACTAGATTTTTTAATATTAAATATTTAACATAGAAGAGCAATTGATTCTTGTAGCCTCCATAGTTTCTACGATCATTGACGATGACGATTCAGGCTCGAGTGATAAAGAATACTTGGACATTTTGTTGCCATTTATTTCTCATGATGCACCAAATTGAGAATTGAAAGATATATAGAAAACGTAATGATGATGAATCTAGGAGACATTTCAGGTTTATTTAGTTATTTATTTAGCCAATGCTGCTCCTTCTTTTGTTACCTCTACTACCTACTTCATACTCAATATTATTCTCAGCGCTTATTATCTCAATAACAGGTATTTTCTGATATTGAGAATAATATTATTAACAACGGAAATGCATTTTACATGCCTTCCCCCTCTAAAATAATGACAGTTCACTGAAGCCACTACACTACCTTCTGATACTCAGCAATTTCAGCAGAATGTTGAGTCGAAATATATGGAATGAATAGTATGTTTGCTCACAAGCATGTGTCACTTTCAGTGAATTTTTTGATTTCGGAATGAAAAATCGGCAGATTCAGTACTGTCAGTTGAATTCGGAATATAGCCTTAATCTTATTAGTAGCAAAATGTGATAGAATGTAATAGATTTGAAACAATGCGTGGCAAATTTTAATTTACTTATTATGATTTAACAACAAAGAGGAGATTATTTGGTTACATTACAATGTACCTATTATTAGGATTTTGTACTGGCCAGGAAAAATGAAATACAACACAGACTCAATTCCACAATTAATAAAAACTGAAAATAAAATAGGAACTAAGAAACCTAGAAAAATATATACTCAGTCTCACAAAATCTTTAGCTTCTATATGACAAGATAAATATTCTTTTTTTAACTAATAACATTGTTTCTAGTAAGTCTGCGAGCAAAAAATGTGAATAATAAAATCGCAAATCGTCTTGATCTCCAAAAACAGAATAAGTTTCAGAATATAACATATATTATACTTGTTCATTTCTTCATTTCTCGCTTTGAGTCGTCACGAAATGAAATCGGTATTATTAGATTATAATTATTCGAGTTAGTAGGTCTTGGTTTTTAGGTTCGGAATTGTAAAAATTCTTCGTAACAAAATTGACAAAACTAATAAAACTATTATAAGAACAAATAAACTCAGTTACAGAACACAAAACACAAGGTTGAAAAAATGACCCTATATACTAACGTTGCCGTTTCTTCCTGACGTTGCGCTAAAACCTCCAGTCAAAGTGTAATAGATATTGGCTGATTCCGTCAATGTAGTAAAATCGTAATAACTGAGACGCGATTGTAATAGAAATATTACAATTGAAACAACAATCTCAACCTTGGATTCGAGGTAGCGACGATACCAAGAGGATGTATAATTTATTGTATATTGTTTAAATACTGCATGTCTGTAGGTTATAATCGAGGAGGTGGTACATTCATTATTCCAGATTTTTCGGGATTTTCTCTCCTCGTTTCTATAAAATAAAAATATGAATATTATTTCAATATACGTGTAGTAAGGACAAATCAGATGATTTGCCCCAAAATGTCACTGCGTTAAAAGAATTTTCCTATCAGAGAGCCTAAAAGAAAAATTCACTAGCTTGTCAGTGACAATTTGTATTGAAAAAAGTTTGGAGAGAGAAATAAAGGTATATGTATAGAAATCATCCAAAATCGGTCAAATTCTGTTAATTTTGAAACCACAAATTTTGAGAAATACAAGAGATGAATAGTAAAAGGACTTTCCAAGGGTGAGGAAATATAGACAGGGTGTTCAATTTAAAATTCGTATACTTTTTGCTGCTCCCTGTATATTTTATCAGGTAGTGAAACTGTATCTGTTGATTCGAGAAGAACAAAAATCAACTGTGGTGTTGTTCAAATTTTTTTTTTCGTACTGTCATGAATAGAAGAGTACCTATATCACCCGGTATGCTGATTTTTAACTCGCAACTGAGAAATATATTATTTTTAAATAAATACAAAAAGCTCAAAGTCATTTCCACACAATGTTCATAAAATGAACGACAATGGTAGATTTCTGGAGAAAAACAACTACTTTCCTGGCTAATGCCACGCAGAACATTCAATTTCCTAGTGGCATTAGCCAGGAAAGTAGTTGTTTTTCTCCAGAAATCTACCATTGTCGTTCATTTTATGGAAATTTTCTGCACGGGTAATCCACCTGAAGAAGCTCTAGTACATTTTATCGTTATTGAGGGTTTTCAATTATTATGGTTTTCAATCACGTAACAGAGTCAATTCAAAAAAATGTTAGTGCAATTTCAAGTTAGAGGTATCGACATAAGCACTCTATTTCGAAGACCTGTATTTTTTGAAAAAATTGACCGATCTTCATGATATCAGATGAGATGTTTCATAGTCTTCAAAGAGAGCTAGAACACTCTGAGAAAGTCCTCAGAACAAAACTTACACAGGGTGTAAAGTGGAACCATTACACTATGGTCTACATTTCCAATGCTGCCAGAACTCGAGGAATTTTTTTCTGATCAAAAGTCAGTCATATTATGATACACTGGGACCTCATCTCGGGACGTTTTCGTGATTTTTCCTTAATTGGCCATTGGAACAAAAATTCGATTTTTTTTCGAAAGTCTTGCATTTCTTGAAATTTTTCTCTAGAACTCCACTCGAGCTGACTATTGGAAAGAACTGTTCTCATGTTTTGTGGAGAACAATGAAAGACGAAAAAAGCACTATTGTGGAATATACAGGACGAGAAAGAAATAGGACAAAATCTCATTTCAATAAAAAAAAAATGGTGATTAAAACCATGGCCCATTCGATTCAGTATATTCAGAAACGGCCTTCTAGATATCCATTATCTATATTAGACTATCAACTCGAGACGTTTTCGAAAATTTGCCTCCAATTGAAATATAGGACGAACATTTTCAATTCAAACTTGTTTCCTGATTCCGATGATTCTTATCAACTGATTTCCAATATTTATTACCCAAGTATGAGACACAGAGTATTGTTGTTCAATATACTGAGTTCTGGCAGCATTGGAAATGTAGACCATAGTGTAATGGTTCCACTTTACACCCTGTGTAAGTTTTGTTCTGCGGACTTTTTCAGAGTGTTTAGCTCTCTTTGAAGCCGATGAAATATCACATCCGATATCGAAAACCAGGTCTTCGAAATAGAGTCAAATTATGAGTGGTCCATTCAGTGTGTTGAGAACTGTATATGGTGTTGTAACTCTGAATTACCAATTTCGTAATTCAACTCGACATTAGATTTACAAAAAATGAATCAATGATGAATCTTCCTGTATCAGTTACACAAAACGAAACAGATCAGTAGGTACTACAAATTGAAAAATATCTATCATTTTAAAATGTTCGATATGTTAGGCAAAATTGAGAAATGAGTCAGTATCCCTTGCTTGATAAAAATCATTGAATACTACTCAGCCAATAATTTACATGACTTCAACCTCATTAAGATATTCTTTGATTTATTCATATTTATTTGAAGTTCGTTTATTTTCGCTCTTTCGTTATCAAACTACTTCTCATCTCCCTAGATTCTTTGGGATTTCCTCTCCTAGTTTCTAAAAACAAAAAATATATGAAAACTGGGAGAAAACTCGGTTACTAATAATCAGTGACACTGTATTCTTATTACAGACAGATATAGGTATTGAAATTATATTTAGATTTCCATCCAAAGAAACGAGGAGAGATAAAAATTTTAAAAAATCTGAAAAAATTCATCACCTGCTCAGTTAACCTTCAGAGAGTTTTTGAATACTTTTCAGTTGCTCTTCCGATTATTGTCATATTCGTTTCAATAATTTTATAGCAATTACACTAAAATGGGAAAATGAAATAGAATGATATGTGATATACGATAGTTATATGTGATATGCAAATTTTGTCTCTCTGGAAAAATTGTAATTCTCAATTTGAAGGGATTTGAACTTAAACCAAAAAAAAATCGCCTGCGGCACATTTTATAACATACAAAAACATTTCTCTGAGTTCCTTGCCTTCCCCTAGCTTAAATGACGCCCCTGTATGACTTCGACCCGAAATGAACAATAATTTCGTGTCTGAACTCATAATAAGTGTTGATTGCGACCTGAAGTTTGCACAAATTCTTAGTAGAACTCAAAATGGGTGCTGATTACGGGTTATAACTTGAACAAATTAGATTTCTGGGAATACAATCGATTGAGAATTGCTGCATTCATGTGACGATCAATATTACCATCGACCATAATTTATTTCAGCTTCTATTTCGTGGGTAGATCATGGAATCCCGAAAACAGTGTTTATGGAATACTTATCCGCGAATTATGACCAGCTATGAGCAAACATAATGAAACAAAAACATCAAAACATGAGTCAAATGGCGGCTCAATGCCTGAGGGATGTATACAACATTATAGCCCGCTAAAAAGGAATATTGAGTTTTTATAAACAGAATAGATATTTGTAACCAGCAGCCAGACAGTATCCTACGACGTGCCTAAACTACCATCATAAAAAAAATTTATATTTGAAAAATAAGCTTCTTCTGCCTAATT